GGTGACATCTGGCAGCAGAGAAGCTTTGAGTGGCAGTGAGCTGAGAAATTAAAGGGAGTTGGGGGTAGGGAATTGGCTACCATGCCTAAATGTCTGTGGAAAATTTCCAAAACAAAGCACCTAGCCTTCTCTGGCAGAGAACTCAGCTATCTGAAACTCCTTGCAAGCAGGCAAACTTGAAGACTGAGCAATTCTGGAGATTTGAAAAATCACATTTGAGAGAGTTCTGGGTTGCATGGGAATCTGTCACCAGGCAAATTTAGTGAAGGAGAAGGTTAGATGGGGCAATCCAAGGGTTCCTGGTAGGAGCTAGGAATACATAAAAAATGAGGTAGATGGTCTTGCCTAGTCCAGCCCAATGCAGCCTCAGCAGCTTCGTTGGATAAGGTCAATTTAAGAAACAAAACACCTAGCCCCCACTGACTGAGAAATCAAATTAGAGCAGCTGCTTGACAGCAAGCAGCCAGCTTCAAACTGAGCAAATCTAGGGATTTGAAAGGTTGCATACAATCTAGAGAATTCCAGGTCATGGAACCACACTAGCTGCTTGGGAGACTGCCACTAGAGGTGGATGAAGAAAATGTGAGGTTTGACTGGGCAATCTGCCAGACAGCAAAAGATGTTGGTGGCTCAGCCCTTTCAAGCTACCTTGGCCTACTCACTGCTCAGATCTCTCTGGATTTTAGCAGGAAATCTCACTCCCCTATCTATAGTGGCCTCACAGACCCAAAACAGCACAGTGAGCAAAGCTCTTTAAGAGGATTGTTCTGGAGAGCTCAACTACCTTTCTCTCCTCCCCTCTCCTGAGGGTCCTGCCACACCCTAAGCTAGAAGTGCAACTCCACCCTCCTGAAGCTGTTCCTATAATAAGCAGGGAAGAAGAACTAACCTGGACAAATTCACTTCTCTCCAAGAATATGAGTGTTTTTTGTTTTTTTGTTTTTTTCATTTTGTTTTGTTTATCATTTTTGTTTATTTGTGTTTCCTTTCATCCAATTTGTTCTGGTTTGGCTGTTTCTCTCCTTTTTTCTCTTTTTGTACTTTTTTTTTCTTCATTTTATTTACCTTGGTTCTAATTGCTGGAATCTTTTTTCCCTGTTCTTCTCTTTCTCTTCTTTTTCTTCTCTCTATCCTCCAAACCACACTTTATTTCTTTGTTATAAACACAGAGTTTTTCATACTACTATCTCTTACATCTACCTCTCCTTCCTTCTATTGTCCTGCTCCTCTCAAGTCAAATACAATCCACAGTGGATAATACTATCAGCATACAAGATCAAACAGAAAAAAGGATATCAAAGATGGAGGACAAGATAGAGGAGTTATTGAATGCCAATAATCACAAAGAAAAAATTTGAGTGCACATGAATACAACATATAACTCTGGGACATGATCAAAAGACCAAGCCTAAGAATTCATGGTGTGGAAGAAGGAGCTGAAAGACAAACTAAAGGCATAGGAAACCTATTCAATGAAATCATACCAGAAAGTTTCTCAAATCTATATAATTATATAGATATTCACGTATAGGAGGCATTTCAAACTCCAGATAGATAAGACCAGAAAAGAATAACCCCACGTCATATCATATATAAGTAAAATGCTGAAACTAGAGAATAAAGAAAAGATAATAAAAGCTGAAAGAAAAAAAGAAGTCAGCTTACATACAAAGGTAAGCACATAAGAATCACCTCAGTCCTCTCAGCACAAACCCTAAAAGCCAGGAAAGCATGGATCAATGTAACTCAAGCATTGAGAAGACTAACTGCCAACCAAGAATACCCAACAAAGCTGTCTTTCAATCTTGATGGAGAAATAAGGACCTTCCAAGACAAGGATAGCCAAAGCAATTCATGTCCACAAAGTCTGCATTGCAAAGGATGCTCAAGGAATACTTCACATGGAAGAGGATGAAAAAAAAATCACAAATATGAGAGGCAGGGAAAATGCAAAACCCAAAACCAGAATTGAAGAACCCACAAGAAAGTAACAAGTATAATGAACTTAGTAAACCAGAAAAACCTGAAAATAAATCAAATCAAAAGTAAAGAGCAATCAACACAAGATTCAACCTGGAAAAAAAGCAATAGAAACACAGGAACCAGTAAATACTTCTTAAACATAGACCTACATGTTTTGACTGGACTTAACCTTAAATCTTTTGACTGGACTTAACTCTCCAGTCAAAAGACACAGATTATCTGAATGCATCAAGTAGCAAATACACATCTCATAACCAAAGACATGCACAAACAAAAAGTGAAAGCCTGGGAAAAAAGATTTGTCAGGCATACCGAAATGGAAAGCAAGCAGGAGTAGATATTTTCATATAGACAAAGCAGATTTTATGCAAAAATGAGGCAGAAGAGAAAAAGAAGGTCACTGAACACTAGTAAAGGGAACAATCCAGCAATAAGATAAAACAATTCTAAACATATTTGCAATAAACATCAGTGCCCCCAAGTTCATAAAATGAAGACTTCTGAATATAAAGAAACAGATAGGTCCAGATACAGTAATAGTGGGAGAGCTCAACACTCCACTCTTCAGTAGACAAAAAATCCAGACAAAAAGTAACAAAAGTATCCTAGAACTAAACAATGCCATGGATGAAATGGACTTAACAGACATTTATATAGTATGCCATCCTATGACAGCAGGTTACATTATTCTTAGCAGCCTATGGAACTTTCTCCAAAATAGATTACATTCTAGGTCATAAAGCAAACATCAACAAATAAAAAAATTGAAATAATCCACTGTATCCTAATAGACCATAATGGGATAAAATTAGAAATCAATAAGAAAAACCATTCAAACACATGGTGATTGAATAGCACTCTTTTGAAGGATCAATGGGTCATTAAGGAAACTAGGAAAGAAATTAAAAAATTCCTAGATTTAAATGAAAATGACACAACTTACCAGGACCTATGGGACATAGCAAAGGCAATCTTAAAAGGGATGTTTATAGCCATGAGAGCTCACTTGGGAAAATTAGAGAAATCTTAAATGAATAATCTTATGATACACCTCAAACTTTTAGAGCAACAAGATCAAGCCAACCCAAAAACTAATAGATGGGAAGAGATTATAAAAGTTGGGGAGAAATCAATGAATTGGAGACCAAAAGAATGATATAATTAATCAACAATTAAAAAGTTGGTTCTTTGGAAAAAGAAACAAGATCAACAAACCTCTAGCCAAATTAAAAGAACAAAAGAGAAGACCTGAATTAATGAAGTCAGAGATGAAAAAGGGGATATTATAACACACACCAATAAAATTCAGATCTTACAGGAATATTTTGAAAATCTGTACTTCAGTAAACTGGAACATCAAGAGGAAACAGATACATTTCTTGATACACATGATCCACCAAAGTTGAACCAAAAGAGCATTAACAATTTAACATAGCTATAAAAAGCAATAAGATTGAGACAGGTATAAAGAACCTCCCAGCAAAGAAAATCCTGGGTCCTGATGAACTTCCACTGCAGATTTCTTCTAGACGTTTAAAGAAGAACTAATATCAATGCTTCTCAAAATATTCCATAAAATACTATGGAAGTAATACTACCAAACTCATTCTATGAAGACAGTATTACCCTAATATTAAAGTCAGATAAAGATGCACCAAAAAAAGAAACCTATACACTATTATCCCTGTTGAACATAAATGCAAAAATCCTCAGTAAAATATTTGCTAACAGAATCCAACAACACATTAAGAAGATCATACACCAACCAAGTAGGTTTCATTCCAGGGATGCAAGGATGTCACAACATACTCAAATCAATAAACATAATACAGCCCATAAACAGAATCAAGAACAAAAACCACATCATCATCTCAACAGCTGCAGAGAAAGCCTTTGCAAAATTGAGCATCCTTTTATGATTAAAAACTCTGAAGAAACTAGGAATAGAAGGAATGTTCCTCAACATTAGAAAGGCTGCATATTACAAACCTATAGCCAACATCATACTAAATGGGAGAAAAATTGAAACAATTTCCTCTGAAATCAGGAACAAGGCAAGGGTGTCCACTCTCCTCACTCTTATTCAACATAGTATTGAATTTTCCAGCCAGATAAATAAGAAAGGAGAAAGAAGAGAGAAAGAGAGAGAGAGAGAGAGAACATGATTCATGATTGTATTAGTGGGTCTATCTGAGGAGACTATGAGAGGTGGGAGATGGGCAGAGAATCTTTAAAAAAGATTTTAAAATTGGTAACAAAACTAAAACCCAAGGAAGAACAATTTGGAGGGAAACACATGCTCATTAGTTTAATACTGCATGTCACCACTACATACCTGTATGTATTTTTTCTTGCTGAGCACCTTTCCCTACATTTTTCAAGTAAGTAACATTATGATGATTTATGCAATAACAATGAAGATGACTGCAATGAATGATAATAATAGCATTTCATTTCCTAATGTATCTTTCGTAACATTTCCTTTTTCTGGAAATTTCATTCTTTGGGTAAAGGAAACTACCTTTTCACTCTTGGGCTGATCTTCTTTATTTACTAATTTGACTTATTTGGTATTTCCCAAGGAGTAAATAACATCCAGAATGATGATGTTATGGGACCCTGGAATTGCATGGCATGAATTAAAACATTCTGGTATTGTCCCTAAAAGAAAAGACATTTCTGTGTTTTATTATCTACTTGATTTGTGGAAAAATCAAGCTAAATAACCTGAGCCCAGTGTGTCTGCTCTATATGCAACTTAGCACCATGAATTTGAGCAGCTGATAGAAATGAGGAGTTGATGCAAGGGAAGCTCTGTCCAACTCTGAGTGGCGATTCTTAGGAGAAATACAAATTAAGATCACTGTCAAATACAAAGACATATTGATTCTTGTGCCACAGAGGATTGTGTGTAGCATCTACTTTGGGTTCATATCAATCTGTACTAAGTTGGCTATAGAAAAGGTATCGTAAGTGAATCGTAAGTGAATGGCTTATTCAGAACTTAAATTTCTTACCTGTGAAACTTCAAAATCTGTCTGGAGATTTCCAGATGCTAACCCACTTAGGAGGACAATTTCATTTTCCTTTGGCTGTTGGACATCCATGGAGCTGATAAGCTTTGGAAGATCTGGTGAAATATTGACCAGTTTCTGTAGAGGAAGAAGCCTTATTAATTTAGATGATTTCTTTTCATTTCCAAAATACTACCTCCAAGTAGTTTACGTACAAGAGTGATTTACTCATGCAACTGAACATACTCCATATTGATGAATACTGTGGTTATCACTGGAAGAAATTATATGGAATTAATGCATAAGAGTTAATATTGGAATATATAATTTAACCTTTAAAAACCCCTTAGTTTTCAATTTTCCAAAGTTAACATTTAGTAACTATTGTCATACCATAGGAATAAATAGTAATCTGTCGTAACAAAGTCAATAATAATAATGATAAAATAATGGTTAGCATTGATTTGACTATGTAAAAAACACTATACTAAAGACCAAACGTGTTCTATTTCTTACATTTAATCTTCACAACAACCTTATGTGGGCTAGGTACCATTATTACTTTATAAGAAGCCTAAATTCCAGAGATTAGTAACTTGCAAAAATCAGTGCCAATGTGTCTGTTTTAAGGCAGAGTAGGAATCTGCCCCACGTCAGTCACATAAATTCTTCACAGAGTTCTTAAAATGCCAGCTTACTTTCATCGTCCCTACTGTCTGTTTGATGGGTGCTGCACAATAATTCTACCAAATAAAACTGTATGTACAATTTTTTTTGAAAATTCTTCCTGTACTACACAAATGATAATACTTGGAGCTTGATGAAAATTTATGTGATAATTTGTGCAGGCAGCTGGATTTAATAAGCTTTCATTGCCAAGAAAAAAAAAACTATAGGAGTAACCAAGTAATTGCAAGTACTGAGGATAGAGTAATTGGGTACTGAGGAACTGAGCACTTGGTACTGAGTCATTGAACAATTTGGGTACCATTGTGTGAAAATCAAGGTAAAATGGTGTGCTGTTACATATTAATCAATAGTATATCAGACAGTGAGGTCAAGGCCCCTCAGCTTTGGGCATAATAACAATCTTATCACACCATTTCATTCTTTCCATTGGATGCTGGGCTGTGGTTCCAAAAAACTGAGTAGACTTTCAAGTGCCTACATGGTGTCAGGGATTTATATCAGAGTCTTTACAACCTTGAATGAGTGTGGGGAAATGAGTTGCTACAAGGCACAACAAGTTCAAGTACCAGATAAGTGGGAGCCAAAGTTCGAGATAAAATTTGATGAAAGTAGCTGAAAGAAACAAAGCACCTTCCTGGCTACTGGCATCAGGTTTTAAGAACACCTTGGAAAAGTCACCTGGGACTGGGTGTTTAATGTGAAGGAAGGGCAGAACAGCAACTTTAGGGAGCTGGTGAGCAAGGTGGCAGCCTGCTTGAACAGCTCTGCCAACATGGAAAAGCAAGCTTCACAAATGTCAAAAGACAAAGCAGCAAGGAAGGTCTGGGAAATGGGCTGTGAGGAAGTCATCTAGCAGTTTGGAGGCTGTCCTCCAAACTGAGCATCATTTATGGCTGAAATCACTTTGGCTAGCTGTTGTATTGAGCTCCTGGAGAGCTCAAGGTCCAAGTGTTACCTGCTGCAGTTGCTCCGTGCTGCATGCATCCTTATTTACATCCAGGTTCACAAAGCAGACCTGGGAAAGGGGGCAAAGACAGTCAATTAAGTGAAAAACTATCAGTCCTTTTAGTAGAAAGTAGGAATCAGTCTGGTGACTGATTTGAAATTTACATGTATTTTATACAGCTTGGCATAGAAACTGTATTTCATCTTTGGGCTTCTATGCAGATATCCTACACTCTGCTCATGCTTCCCAATGGCACCAGGGGAAAACCATGTCTGCTTGTGTTAGAATCAAGGGAACACATACAACAAATCTTCAGGTTTATAATGTGCAATTGAATCTCATGAAACAGGAAAAGGACTTGTAATGTTAAGGTCCTCTTTAAAATTACAATGAGCACTTTTATTTCCCTCTGCTCTTTTCTCACTTCTTGCCCCTTTCTCTAACCCCCCCGCCTCTTTTTTTGTAGTACTGGGGCTTGAACTCGGGGCCTACACCTTGAGACTCTTCACCAGCCCTATTTTTGTGAAGAGTTTTTCGAGATAGGGTCTCACGATCTACTTGCCTGGGCTGGTTTCAAACTGCGATCGTCCTGATCTCTGCCTCCTGAGTGTAAGAAAAACGAGCTTTTCTATCAAAGTATATGTCACCCTCTTAGATTACTTTAAATTCTTCAGGTTGCCATCTTAGGTGACTTGCGTTGTTTAAAGGGGTCCTGTTTCTTCTGGATTCTTGTACAGCCCCATTACCTGTCAAAATTGCCCACCAAATTTGTGTGCCCTAACCCATCTCCTGAGCCGTTTAGCTAATTGAGAAAGCTTGTGAACCTTAGATCTGGACAAATCCCAGGTAAGGTGCAGGTGTAACTGCATCAGGGATATAAGGAGAAGCCAAGCCACTGTCAGCCATTTTGTGCTCACATGTCTGTTCAGCTGGAGTGAATTTGGGCTTGCACCCTTTAATCAAAAGAAATTACCTTGTCAACATTTTCTCTGTCTCTCATGTGTCTGTTTTTGGTACTGGAGGGTCTTTAGTTCCAACACGAGTAGCTAGGATTACAGGCGTGAGCCACCAGTGTCCAGCATTCTCTACCCACTTTTAATAAGATGTGTGATATGTGATTTCTCATTGCCTACATTTTTAAGTTCATTTTAACTTATTTACTTTTGCATAGATTACTTCTTTATTGGTCATTTTAGATATTGTTTAAAAACAATAGGTACAATATTAAATAATAAATTCAAACTACAGTGAAATAACTGTTATGATTTAAATTCTAAGCACATCACATAGATAGAAAACTATCAGATGGAATAAGAGAGAGGAAAACTTAAGAATTACTTAAGGAGGTAAAATATGTTCTTGAAAGAAAAAAAAAAAACAGACTTTTGTTGGGTTTGGAATAAGGCAGATATCCCCAGTAGGTGAGAGAGCAGGTGTCATTCTTGGAGGTGAAAAAGTGTAATAAATTGTCAAGAAACAGGAAAGAGTGTGAGTATGGCCCAGCTCTGGAGAAAAGGAAGTGTTAGAATAAATCCTTGCAAGGATCATGTAAGAGGGCATGAATGAACTTTTATCTTTTGCTAAAAATCATCCAAGAGCTTTTATTCTTAACTGGTTGACTTGATAATGCATAACTGAGAACAATGGTTATCAGGAAATTTAGTTAGATGTTTGGATTTGCATTCTTGTAGATCTAAGGAGCCTTCTGATTTCAATTAGTTGATTGGAGTTCTGGATTCTCAAACATCCATTGCTCTTCTTTTTAGGATTAAAAAAATGACCAGGCAATGTAGTATATGCCTGTAATCCAAACTATTTGGGAGAGTAGGTTTTCGAGTTTGAGGGTGGCCTAGGCGAAGTTAGCGAGACCCCATTTCAAAAACAAAAGGACTGGAATGTAGCTCAAATAGTATAGTGTGAGACCTAGGGTTCAAGTATGGCAAACAAACACAACACAAAACAAAAAACAGAATTGAAAGTGGTTTATACATTGCTGAAGTGTAAAGATCACTACTGCATTACTCCCAGATAATAAGGATTTTCCCCCAAGTTTCACGGGCTCACAAGAGATCTCCAATAGCATCTGAGGACACAGTGTCTGCTTGGTAAGCTCGCCTGATGGACATTAGGGAGGGGGAAGGGTGTGAAAGACCACCTACACTCTCTCTTTTTCAGAGGTCCCTTTCCTCAAGGACAGGATGGTGGGAAGTCAGGGAGAAGTGTGCATGAGTGCCTTTGCAGGCAGTGCAAATGGGAGCATAAAGAGTAGCTGGAGCTCAGAGTCAGTTCAAGGGCAAGGGCAATTTGAGAAAATTCATATAATAATTGCAACTTTGCCTATAGAAAACTGGCTCAATATCCATCAGTACTCAGGCACTTTAAATAACACGCACCTCGGACTGCCCTTAGTGAATTAATGAGAGAATTTTCTATTCACCTTTAAAAAAGCATCTGTTACTGTGCCCCTGTGCATCACAAAACTCTTATTATCCCATATCACAGTGGGAAAGGGCAAAGCAGAGACCAGAGATCAGCAAAAGGCATCTCAAATAGTGACTTGTCTGTTCCTCGTTATCCTGAGGTCTCTGAGGATGAACTCTCTTTGCATTCATTCTGGACTGCAGTATGAAATTCTGCCTACACGTTGAGGAAGTCCTTCCAAGATCGGAGCAAAGCAGGACAGAAGTCAACCATTTGCTTAAGCCTTGCATGCATCTCTTTCTATATCTTGGTGCTAGAGGATTGATTCATATTTTTTAGGGCCTGATGGATTTATAATTCTGAGGGATATTCTTTAAGAAAAGAAATATAAAACTAACTAGATATGAAACTGAATATTTGTTTTTTCATAGAAAAAAGAAATTACAATAAAACTCAAACTTCAAAAGGTAAAGGAATATCACAAACTTTAAAAACTTCCAGAAAAATATTTAAATGAATGAACTGCTCAATATATCTCCATAGTTTTTTCCCCCTATTCTTATGGGTGCAAACTGTTTGATCACCTATTCATATGACAGTAGTTTTATAATAACATTTTCCCAGTGAGAATAGAAAGATAATTCAGTCTTCCTTTAATGTGATTGATTGAATTTTTTCAGGTACTCAAACCTTTACTGAAAATATCTCATACATTTTCAGCTTACTGACAAATTTAGTTGGAAACTACTATGTAATTACTTTCTGTATGAGTTATTATAGGAATATTCACTATTTGTCCTGTTATTATAATTTTGTGCTCTACCAGCATAAGGATTTGGGTTGATTCTCTTCTGTGTGATTCTCATGAAAAAAAATGCATGGTACATTTATAAATTTTGATGCTGCATTATCAAGTAAATTCCTTGGGTTGAATAGGCATCAAATGAGAAACCAATTTTGTTATTAAATTTCACGTCTGATGACTGTAAGAACTTTCTATGCTGTTTCTTGGCATAAAAATCTTGTTTGCTTTCCACTTTCTGCATGTTTTTGGTATTGGGAACTGCAGTGCATGCTCATATGACCTGACACCTTTATGTTACAAGGTCGTCTGGTTGAGTGCTGCTCTCTACAGTAGGAATATCTCTGGAAGCCATTTCTACATGAAGATGACTAATGATCATTTTAGTATGCATCAAGGAGACCCCAGGCTACATATAGAGATCTCATGAACACAATCCCACTAAATTTACCTTAAGCCAGATCATTATTCTAATGAGGGAAGACAGCATTATGTTAAAATTTGAATCGAAAGAGCAATTATAAGCTAATACATTATTTTGAAAAATTTATAAACATCATTAACCCTTGACACATGCTAATCCCCAATCCAGGACCTTGGAAGTGGCACCTATGTATCTAATAAAACCCCCTGAAATGTAGTCCATGATATTTTTATGTGTTAATCTGCTATCTTGGAAAATGTCCATAGAATTGGTCTCGTAGCAAAATTTTCAGTTTATTGATTGTAGGTTTTCCTTGAGATTTAGGAATCCACTAATTCTGATTCAAGTATAGAACGTAAAGACAAGCTTAGATGTAGGGTAGGAATTTTGATAAGAAGACTGTGTTCATCCTCTTAGAGGTGCATGTCTTTGTACTGGGTGCTCGGAAGACAAGCAATCCAAATAAAACATTACTCTTGCTCTCAGGGAGTTATATGTCTGATAGGAGGACATATTTTTTAAGTGGTGAAGACAATTATGAAGCGTGGCAGAAGTTACAGGCCTTGTGTATAGGAGAAGGATGCTGGGGTAATTGGGTCAATCACAAGTGGTATCACAGAAAAGGCGGGATTTGAAGAGAGCTTAGAAGTCAGAAGAAACATGTTTAAAAGCCTAAGAGGGGAAAATTGCAGAAACAATGAATGTGTAATCTTTTCATGATTAGTATGTCTTAAGCAATGAACAGATAGGAAGCTCTGTAGTAAGCAAACAGGAGGAGAAGACCGAAGCAGTGAAATCCAAGTCAAGAGGCATTTCTTAGAACTCAGAATGAGATAAAAGTTGTTGAGAAGTTTCTTTCTTATTATGCAGTGAAGATTCTAGGCATAATTTAGTAGCCTTTTTAATGAGTTGAATGAAAGAGGAAGTCCTAATTTTACAATGTACTACCTGTGTGCTAAGTGTTGAGAAAGAGACCTGTGTGTTAGAATAGGTTTTTCCCTGTGAGTCTGACTGGGGGGTTATTAAAGGAGCCTGTAATGGAAACTTTTGGTAATGGGAAGGATTAGGGAGAGTGCTATGTGTGGCCAAAATATTAAAGTAGAGAGATCCTGAGTTATGGTTCTATGCGGTGGAAGGAATGCTGTGGGTGGAAAGGCTGGGGCTGCATGGTTGAGACACCAGCCAGATGAGAATAGGTGGAACCTGCTGTGTTGTGCTGTGTTGACTGTTCATTCACCTCCTTCTGGAGGGATGTTACTGAGTTCTCCGTAACATGCCTGAATAAACAACCCAAATACAAGAAAAGGCCAGAGACAGACTTTTAAAAAGTATGTGTGTTTACAGAATTTCCTCTTAAACATACTTTTTTTGGCCTTCACTAGATGTTAGTTCATGAGAGCAGGCCCTGCTTATTACTGTATT